TTGCGAGGATTTTGGCCTCGTTAAACTTGAAACTGTGGCCGGGTCCTGTCGGGTGAGCTGAAACCTGGGAGTTAGCGTCTTTCCTCCTCACCGCCGCTGCGTGCTCGGTCATTCGCGTCCGGAGTAGTCTCCCGATTCCTCCGAATTATTTGCCTCGCCGCCCGTAAACGACTCCTGCCATGGTAATGGTTCTTTCGGTCTCAGGACACGGTGCCTGATGGTTTCTTCTGGCCTGTACGCAACTCCAAGTGGAGTGAGAGGGAGGCTGACTGCTTCCGACACATTTGCGCAAGATAACTTTCCCCCCTCTAAATGCAGGTAAATTCCCGAGTTCTTTGTGCACGAGCAAAACATCGGAAGGCTTGTTTCGACTTAGTGGAGTGCCCACGAACTAGCAGGTGCTTTTACCCAGAAAAATGGGCGTTTCCTGTATTGCAGATGACCTTGACTAAAAATGCTCAACTTGCATGATTGCGGACTGTTTTTTTCGCTCTTCCAACCTGTGAAGTGAGCGCACTTCGTCTTGGTGGGATTCGAACCCACGACAGCAAGGGGACGACTTCAGTACAGTCAAAGTTCTAACCATCTGCGAGAAGAGGTCCCAATGGGAGGCGTGGGCTTGGTCACACCTGGGTTAAGTGACCCGTCCGAGTTACTGCAGCGTATGGAATCCATCAATGCCACGAATATGTTAATACCATCTACTGTTTTATAACAGTCTCCGCAATATTGATAATCAGGATCTTTTCGAAAGGAAGTTTGGCGGACAACTCTTACGTCTTCATGTTGTCGAGCATAGAAAGACCGGCAGGAGTTTCTTTGGTAGTGGACTTGGATACAACAAGCCGTAGGTTGTTTTCATACGGTAACCGTGAGAAGGATTTTTTTTTAAGTTGATAAAACTGATTTACCAAAAAACGATTTTGTGAAAATACGAAAAAAAAGGTCGTAAAATTTTGTTGAAATAAGTTAATACGGTGGCTATAGGCTGACGGCGTTGAGAGCGTAAATCGAAAAAAGGCGCAAAAAAAACAAATCGAGCTCGAATAGAGCACGAATCGCTGTCGACACACTCGGAAATGTGGAGTTTTATTCCGAAAAACTTTCCTTTGACCAAAACCCGGTAATAATGGATTTTTTGAAGGCTTTTTGGAATATAAAGCAGAAACTTCGGGCTTTTTACATAAGATATCACTATCCCACACTGAACCTAACATTAACCCTTACCCTAACCCTAAACCTAACCCTCACCCTAAACTTAAACCAAACCCTAACCCTTACCCTAACCCTTACCATAACCCTAACATCTAACCCGTGTGGTATG